ATTTCCCTCTCCCCTCTCTCTCTCTCTATCTACACACACACACACACACACATGTGACAGTCTATTTGTGTCCCACATCTCTCGGAAATGTCTTATGAGTTTATATATACTTTGGACACCGTCTTCCTACTTGCCGGTTTTAAGGATGAGTTCTATTCAACGAGTATATGCACATGCTTCCAATTCATCTCTATCAAGTTGAATGTGTTGGTTGACTTTTTTGGGTTATGGAGCTTCAATTTGAAGTATATATATTTTACTTGTAAAATTGAACCTTTTAAAACACATATTCTTGAATTTCTTTTTGGAATTCAGTTTCAAAAAAAATAAAAAATATCAATTTTAAAGAATTTGTGGGTTTTGATGGGGTGATGAATTTAACAGAACATGTTTGTTTGCTTATGCAAATATGTTTTAATGTTGTACCTTGTGCTATAAAGTTGTTTATTGTTTTAGGCTAATTAATTGGAATTGACTTTTTGGTGCAATTAAGTTACAGGTATTTTTAAATCTATTGGTAGATTTTGAATCAAATGCATAATTTTTTCAATCTTCAACCTTAAGTTATAATGCATCCTGAGCTACTCTTTATCAACAACTTCTTGTTTCTTCAAATATTTGTTTATACATTGCTGGTTGATGTTTAGTATTTCTTATAACGAACCTATGTGGGAAAAAATCCTCATCTGTAGGAAGTAATTTCGACCTGATTATTCGTCACCAGTTTCAAAATCCACCTGTTTTGACCAAGATTAACACAATAATTTAGCCCCGCTTGGGCTCCATTTTACCAAGAAAATGCATTTTATTATTGTTGAAGCCAAAAACTGAAAGAGACCTTCTACCCAACTACATAATCTTGCCTCATTGGATGACTGGTAAACCGGCACTTAATTACTGATTATTCCATGAGAGTCAAATCTTGTGAAGCATAATAAATTTGGCATTTGATTTTCTCTGTAGTTCACGAAGTTCAAATGTTGCAAGTGAACTATCATATGCACTATGCAGCGTAGGCGAAGGTTACAAGACTGATTGGCATGATTGATGCAAAATTTTACATCCCTAGATCTTATGGATCTTGCGATGCCTGCCAAACCTCGTTCCTTATTGCCAGACTAAGTAGTCGCCCATTGAACTTTGCTATGTCAATTACCCTAAAGTCTCATGACTTTCTTTCTTGGCTGGTCTTCAACCTAGTCTGCTTGTCAACTTGTGGTCAATATTGACTTAATCAATCAAATTTTATTGATCTGCTCATATTGCCCAAGGGATTGATTATGATGATCGCTTGACCCGGGTAACCCACTGGCGACTATATACTGTCTTTATTGCCATTCAGTTGCATAAGTTTACAATACCTTAATCTTTGCCCTGTGTACTTAGACTTTTGCATGTTTGGTATTGAAGGAACTCGGAAAAAATCGAATGACTAAGATAGTGTTGGTCATTGCTTATACATAGTAAGAGCTTATATGCTCAAAAACTAAGTTGGTATGTTATTTTTGTGCTAACAACTTATAGGTATTGTATTAAGATTTGGAGTTCCATCTTAAAAGATCAATCTTATTAAGAGAAGCAGTCCAAACTCTTATATATTGATCTACGTTTTAATTTTTATTCGATGTGAGATTTTATCCCTTAACATGCTCTCTCAAGATGGTGGCTCGTTTGAGCAGACCAATTTTGAAATCCGCGTGTTCAATTTTTTTGAGTCTTAATCGGATCGAATTACTCGTTGAAGCTTAACAGACTCTGATACCATGTTAAAATTTGGGGTTTTATCTTAAAAGGTGAATCTTGAAATCTGGGTTATCAATCATTGGCACCTTCCACTTGCCCTTGGGGTTCTTAAGTTTCCTTGGCTTCCATGGTCCCTTGTACTTGGGGTTGGGGATAGTTGGTGCAGTCCACTGGCCATCCTCCTCGTCATCCCAGTCTTCAGGCTTCTTGGCTTCAGGATCTGGAATCTCCTTTGGGATGTCATCATAACTCTCTGGCTTCTTGTCTTCAGGGTCTGGGATTTATTCCTTGTCGTCCCAATCTTCAGGCTTCTTGGCCTCCAGGTCCTTGATCGTCTTTGGTGGAAGTAGATCCCTATCGGGGTACAAGCTTGCAGACTGCTTTTCTACATTGTCAATGAGGATGCTGTAAGTAGCATCTGGCTGCTGGATAAATGTATATACATGCGTCAGTCGATCAGTCTCACATGGGACATCCTTCTTGATCAAATTATTTTTCCCACTGTATGTCAGAATAGCATGGACTTTCTTGGTAGTGTAGCCATGTATATCTGGTCCAAACATGATGCTGTATGGGGTGTCACCACCAAATTTCGATCGACTTCACCACTCAGCAATTTCATGTATCCACCACCACAGTCAAGCTTTTGCTCATGCTTGACAGAGAACTAGAACACAAAGCTCTTCTCTTTGTTGCTGAATTCAGGGGACTCAGCTGAGATGGCATAAAACCTAGTCCTCACTGGTTTGGATACCTTTGTCGTTCGGATCTCCATTCCATTTGCCAGAGGTGTAATTCCACTCTCCAGCCATGTTCTCATCTTTCTTCCATTCGGATTTAACCCAACGGTTTTCCCATCCATCGTCGAAGCGTTCTTCGAAGAAAACTTCAGCAGATGAAATCGCGAAAAGCAGAGAGAAAGCAATGGCTAGAGAGGGGAAGTCATGGCTTTTCATTGGTGCTCTTCTCTGTACTATCACCATATTAAGAGCTTGTTTGGTAGGAATTTTTGGAGGAAGAATTGATTTTTGAATAGTGATATGATGGGAAATGTGTGGTTGAAAAAGAAGAAAAAATTATTGATGTGATGGAAAAATTATTTTATTGAAGAAAAATCACTACCAAACACCCCCTAAGATTTGGGGTTCCATCTTAAAAGATCAACCTTATCACGAGGAGTAGTCCAAACTCTTATATATTGGTCTATGTTTTCATCTTTATTCGTTGTGGGATTTTATTCCTTAACATGTCTAACTACCCCGTCTAAAAATTTAAGCTCTTTGAGGGGGAATAAATTATTTATGTAAATTTTGTTAGCACGTGCCTCACGGCTATGCTGGATTCATTTTCATCAAATTCCCAACGCTTGCCCAATTTTCAGAAATAGCACGTAATATTTTATTTATCCAAGTGATGTTGAAATACGTGGAGCACTGTCCAACTTTCATTAGCCAATGCTTCCCTGGTATTCCCTCCAGTCTAGTCTGGAAGAGTTCTGTCGAGGAAAAAGATCTTATATTGAATGATCTTGGGTTTACCTTCTCCTTACTTCACTTTCTGAGTATTTGTCCATGAACAATCTTTGGAGGTTCCAATAGCTATTTTTCACTTATTTTTGGATTAATGAGCTAATTTAATGCTCTTTACCGATTTGCATTGCAGAAGCAACGCCAAAGACAATTATGAGAACAATGGGAGTAAAAGGCTTGACTTTGTATCACCTGAAGTCTCATCTTCAAGTATGCTACCTATCAACTGTCCCTCCCTAATAATCCAATCAAATTCCCTATAAAGATAGAAAAAAATGAGCACTTCTTTCTATTTGATTCTCAAAAATATGGCTTACTAAGTGTAAGTACTCGGTATTTAATATTTCAGAAGTACCGTTTGGGCAAACAAGCAAACAAGGAGGTAACTGACAACTTGAAAGAAGGTATTCACTATTCAATAAAGCTCTCTGTGCACTACACCTTTTTCACATTCCTTGCATATGCATAAGGTTATCGTGGTTCAGCATTTTTCCTTGTTTAATTAGTAAATATATGAATTAAATATGCTTATCCAGAAAATAGGGTCATTGAATCTATGGTAAATAGGCTTTTATTTACTGTCTTGGTGAAGCATAGTTACCATTTTCCGTTCTCGTTTATTCATTTTGATTTTAATTTTATATGCAGCATCCTGCGTAGCTGAAAATCAGGATACTGGTTCATCTATGTCAGCTTCATCAAGAATGATGGCCCAAGATATAAATGAGTATATCTCTTTGTACGCTATTTCTCAACCAACACACATGTTTTGGCTTGTATTTAATTAATTTAGTTTTCATATTGTTACCAGTGGGTACCAGGTTACTGAGGCTTTGCGAGTTCAGATGGAAGTTCAAAGAAGACTGCACGAGCAGCTCGAGGTTAGGATTGTCTCTCTTGGAAAATCTATCTCAAAATTTAATCTAAAATCTTCCTATGGTTCGTGTGGAGATGGAGTAGGTAAATGATGTAAAACCCAATGTTTTATTTGTTTGTTTTAACTGACAAATACGACTCTATGAAACAAGTTTAGCAGCATCCTGTTTAAGGGAAAGCCAATAAAACCTATTCTTAATCAGATGAAAGTGAACTACTCATGGCAATTACCGTTCCCAAGCTGATGAAAACTAGGTTGAAATTTAGGGCAATTGGAATCCTCATTCTTAAATTGCTCAAAGCCTATGGCATCAGCATTCATGAATCCAAAACAACTGACTTGACCTGGTTCATTGCATCACTAGGCTTGTTCTTGGCGCCTCTAAGCTTTTATTTGTACCCTTGAGGATTTTTCTCACTCAATTAAAATGATCAGGGCCCAATTCTTTTTATGTTAACTGGTCAGAATACGAAACAAACTTAAACGTCCCTCCTGACTCCAGACGCCCTCTACTCCAATGCACGTATCACATGCTTCCTTGAACTTTAGAAAAGTAGAAATAATCTTAGACCTTGTCATGTGCTGAGTTACCTTCAATTTCGAGGTTTGCTCACAATTAATATGTGGTATCATTAATCAAAACAAATGTGTCATCACTTGCAATTATGTGATTCTCTTTTTGTTCCACTTATTTTCAAAGATCATTACCAAACAGTGATAACAAAGAGTTTCTTGTTTCAAATCTGGTACAAACCAGGTTCAGAATCGTCTCCAGCGCCGAATTGAAGCACAATCCATGTATCTTCAGTCGATCCTTGAGAAAGCTTGTAAAGCTCTTGAAGATCATACTGTGGCCTCTGCCGGGTTAGAAGCTGCTGGCGAAGAGCTCTCGCAACTGGCAATCAAAGTTGCTAATGACTGTCATGGCATGATGGCAGTCGATCCTCCTGTACCTGAGGTTTCCACATTTATGGAGAGAAAAAATTATTCCAATATGCCTGCTCGACTAGGTGCCTGCTCAAAAGATAGCAGTTTGATGTCGAAGGGAAGTCCAGTTTCTCCTACTATTTCTGGTTCACAGGGTGCTGCACTGAAGAAAAGACAACAACCTGTGTTTAGTGACGAGAACATGTTGCTTTTCGACAACAGTACAAGGCCATTGGAGTGGACGAAGTCAAATATTGGATGAGTCCCGCAGGATAGTTTCGTTTCAAGAATGAAATTAGTTCCATTCTCTTTACTGTTTCTCTTTCAGATAAGTGGTTTGTACATTCTTCATGCAGAATCAATCAATCCCATGTATTCATCTTGAAAAATCAGGTGTCGCACTGGATACCACTTAACAGTTCATGGATTAGCAATTTAACGACTTTTAAGTTATCGAATGGTTGTAACTTATCAATTTTTGTTTTGACCATACTTGCGGAATTAATCAATCAAAAGCAACAAGTCACAGTTAATTGTTTCTAGATGATTAAGCATATAAGTACAATTATCCTCTATTTGAATACCATAGTAATATAGAAAGCAATAATAAACACCGATATGATGATGGAGAAACCCCCACTGAGTAAAAACTTCGGGATCAAGTCAGTTACCGCCACTATAGACAATACATAGTGAGTTACAGTCAGAGCTATTTAGCTAACTCCACTAGACTTTCCGATCTATTTCCTGCTAGTTCCAATGTCTGCTCCAAAAATTTTTGCAATTGTCTCTTCCCAGCGGAATTTCAAGAACCTACTCCAAGGCCTTGTGCTCTTCTAGCGTTTGTAATCCAACATCTCTCTACTTCTAGAAATTTCTGAAATCCAACTGAAAGAATATCTTCCTATGACCAATAGGAAATAGGTTGTGTTTCAAATTCGATGGGTTTGATGTTTTTCCTAAATATATGGTTGTATGATCTCGAAAAGAAAAGATGTAATCAATGCATGAATAGGCTCTTGGTGTTAGGAATATTGAGTCTAACTCCACCTAATAAAACCGGCTTATTAGGGGAGAATTGCCCTCACCTTATTAAGTGGATCATTTATATTTTTCCAAATAATGTGGGATTCTAATACGCTCCCATACGCACAGCGTGGACCATGCCAAACAATTGTGAACAAATCGATATTGGGTGGCACCCAACATTGCATAATTGGGCCTAGCTCTGATACCATGTTAGAAATATTCCCGTATCGATAAATGATGTTGACACAGACCAATTAATAAAAATCTTGGGCTACTCCTCTTAATAAGGTTGACCTTTTGAGATGGAACCCCAATTCTTGACATGGTATCAAAGTTAGGCCCAATTATGCAATGTTCGGTGTCACCCAATATCGATTTGTTCACAGTTGTTTGGCATGGTCCACGCTGTGCGTGAGGGAGCGTATTAGAATCCCACATTGTTTAGAAAAATATAAATGATCCACTTAATAAGGTGAGAGCAATTCTCCCCTAATAAGCTGGTTTTATTAGGTGCTTAACATGGTATCAGAGCCCATTACACTCCAACGAGTGATTCGATCCCGTTAAGACTCCAAAAGTGAGCAGCGTAGATTTCAAGATTGGTCTGCTCAAATGAGCCACCATCTTGTGGGGGCATGTTAAGGGATATATATCCCATATCGATAAATGATGTTGACACAGACTAATTAATAAAGATTTTGGGCTACTCTTCTTAATAAGATTGACCTTGTATATAGAATGTACTGTGGAATGATTTTTTAATTGTGTATATAGAATGTACCGTGTAATGATTTTTGTCTAATTCAACTTACATTTATTGAATTGTTTTTATTTGAATTGATTATTAATATTAAATATTGGTTGAGTGTTTTTCTTTCCGATTATTTGAATTGATTGTTTGTTTGTATCAATTATTGATAAATTCTTTTAATTTAATTTTCTTTTTTTTTTGTGATAAGTAAAATATTAATAAAAATAATATTCAAGATAGAAGGGAAGAAAATGATATTGGAGATGAAAGAGAAGACGGTCTTGATTTTGGAGATGTTCCAGTTGAAACTGATGCCGATGATGTTAGGAATAAAAAAGCGTATAGAACAATTGTAATAAGATATCGAATACTTTTATGTTTTTCATAATTTTTTTACAAATTTGATTATGCGCGAATTTTAAAAAAGCGTATAGAACAATTTTTTTTTTAAAAAAGCCTGATTCAAAACGTTTGTGTTCGAATAAGTCTTATTACCTTACATATACATCTGGAATTAGACAATTCAATCAATTTCGAATAAACTTTTATATCTAAACTAAAACGGCATTTTCTTCAAGTCAAGTTTGAAGTTTGAAAAAAAAGAAAAGAAAGGGAAAGTGAGACAATCTGTTCAAACACGCTTATTGGCTAGATTACTTAGCCGTATCTTCCGGTTTTAGGTTAAATATTCTTATCCCTGAACTTCCACCCATGTTTCTATTAAATCCCTGCACTTTAAATTATTTTCGAATGTATGATTTAAAATGAGTGTGAATAAGTACTGTAAAACTTTGGATTTACGTATAAAATATTTTATTGAGTCAATTAGTGATTGAAAATAAATATGTAGAGAAAAAGAGTTTAAAAAAAATGTTCATCAAACATGAGCAACATATGATCTACTTCCACAAGTTGGATAATAAAGTGCATTAAAAAAGATAATTTTTTATTGAATAATTCTTTTCCTGATAAATATAATCGTTTTTTTAAGTCACCTCTCGTTTTCCACATCGACATAGGGGTTAGTGGGATGTTAAGTCTGATGGATGGAAATCAAATTTGAAAGTTCAATTAGCAGATTAAAAACAATTTAAAGTTCGGGAGAGGTCAGCAATATGGTTAGAAGTGCAAGATAGACGGGGTCAGCGTGTACTGTGCCTGTGTGTGAAAGGTGCTTGTAGTCAAAGTATTATGGCATTTCCACTTGGGACAGAAAGATAGACTTGGATTCAAATCCGTCATAGCATTTTCAGCAATTCTACTTTACTTCTCCTGTACCCAATTCCCTCTTTTTTCTTTTCTTTTCCTCTGTCTCTTGTATATATTGAACCAAAAAGCTACCTTTTTTCAGGTCTCTCACACTCAAAGCCATGAAAGATTCACAAGGTAAGTCGTCTTCTTCTTTTTTTTTTCTTGCTGAAAAACTGATATTCCATATTTGATGGGTTTTTTCTTCTCTTCATAAGTTCTCTAACGTTAACAGTAATGTAGCTGGTTGAACATGTTGAATATGAATTCCCTAAAGTTAATACTAACACAAATTCATTTTACCTTTAAGGCACATCTGAGCCATGCTCTATTCTGAAGTCATTTTCCAATAAAGTAGGAGTCTTATTCTGCTGCCATAGTTTGCCAAACACTTATAAGAGACTAGATACTGAGCTTGAAAGGAAAATGATAGAGATTAAGAGAAATTCTTCAGGGAATAAAAATTTCAGATCAATTGATAGCATAATCCTGAAATTTCCTCAGATCAGAGATGGATTGAAAGAGATCAGAGGTGTATTCGAAAAGTTTGGTGAGTCGGGACCACAAAGAAAGTTGTTTTTTTCTTGTTTTTGAAGCATTATGAGAAACTTACAATTAGTTCTCAATCGTTCTTTCATTTTCCTTGCACAGACGAGGATTCAAATGGAACTATTGACCACGAAGAACTCAAGAAATGCTTGCAAAAGTTACAGTTTCGTGTCAGAGAGGAAGAGATCGACGATCTTTTCTATTACTGCGACATGAATGAAAATGAAGGGATACAATTCAACGAGTTCATTGTTCTTCTTTGTCTAATTTATCTTCTCAAGGATTGTTCATCCTCGGTTAGCACAGTATATGCAATGATATTCTTATTTTCAAGTTATTTACTCTTTTTGTCTTGGGAAAGATATATTTCGACTTGTAATCTGCCGGTTTATTTATCACAACCAAATTTTCGCAGACATTGAAGATGGAATTGCCACAAATTGATGCCACCTTTAATACAACAATTGAAGTATTCTTGTTTCTTGACAAAAATGGTGAAGGAAAGCTGAAAAAGAAAGATGTGGTCAAGGCATTAAACGAGGCTTCTCCTCGGGAGAAATCTCCTTCTCACGTCACGAGGGATCGATTTAGTTATTAACTCTACATGATTCTTTAAGATTTAGCCCTCTAGTTACTGTCTTTACCTGCTACAATTTTAGGAATTTTATTTCAGAGTTTCGTTTTTAATACTGACCTTGGCTTATGGTACTGTTGAATGTGCAGAAGAAATGGACTTGGACAGGAATGGAAAAATAAGCTTCAGGGAATTTCTATTTGCATTCATTAAATGGGTCGGGATCGATTCTGATAATGATGAACCTGAGATACAAAATTAAGATGAGTGTAGAATGGCAAAGAACCGAAACAGGGAAACTATCTGGAGGTTTGACTTATGCATTAAACATTTAATTGTATATACATATTGTAGTGTTTATCGTCTGTAATTTATTTTTCTGTGTTCTGTAATTTCTTCACATTTAGCTGTGTTACAGTTAAGTTGATTTAAAATTTTATAATTTGCTTGTTAAGGTTTTGTGCGAAAAATTGTTTCACATCTTTGCTTGATCACTAACATCATCTGTCTCATAGGCACTTTTATGTCCTAAATACTTTTCACTATCAATAACACGAGTTACGGACATGGAAGATTAACTTTGCCTGCACACGAGTTCTTTGCTAAATATACACAAATATAACATTATATTCATAACTCGTACAAAATCATTGTATGCCAAGAACTTGAATCAAGAACACATAAGTTTTGTATGACTCGTACAAAGTCATTGTATGCCAAGAGCTTGAATGCTTCGGATGAGACACAAAGAAAGAGCACTTTTTTCAGTTTTTGTTTCCATTCTTCCTTTCTTTCCTTCTTCTGATTGATTTCCGTGGACCATTGATCATATTCGCCCAGTATGCTTAATATCTGCTTCATGCTTTGTCTAAGTCATGGATTCAAACGTGTGCACGCCATTCCTAATTTCACTAGCCTTACGAGTTCCCCATTGTCATATTGTCCATTCAATCTCCTGTCCACAATATCTTCATATGGCCCTTTCTGCACCTCAAATTTATGTACTATTTTTACTAATAGCACCTCAGGCTGCCGGAAGTCCACTGCCATCTGTCCAGTGACTACCTCAAGCAGCACAACTTCAAAGCTATAAACATCAGCCATTGTGGTCCCTTCGCCAGAATCCATATATTCTGGTGACATGTAACCAAAAATCCCATGAACTGATTTTTTTGTGTCAACAGCTATGTGATGGTCATGTTCATTTCTTGTCAAGAACTCAGCAAGAGAAAAAGAACCGAGTCTTGGTTTCAAGTCTGACTCCAGAATGACAGCAGATGATGTGATATTTCTGTGAATCACCTTCTCATCCCATTCCTCGTGGAGATAGTAAATAGCAGAGGCGAGTGATTTGATTATGTTAAATCGTTGCCGCCAACACAAGATTGAATGCCTGTTTTTTTGATCGTGGTGGAAAAGGATGTGACTCAAAAGGTGTTTTGCCGAGTAATCATACACGATGAGCATCTCTCCTTGCTGGGTGCACCTTCCACGTAGCAATACCATGTTCAAGTGCCGGAGGTTTTCGAATTTTGGAATTCGTTTGAAAATCTCTGCCGCAATGCAGGACATGTTCTCATTTCTAGCCTCTTCATTAAAACATGGTGACTGTCAGGAAACCCGTGGTAAGAGGTGTAAGTGTTATACGCTAGGTCCAATCAATTTTGAACATAAACACTTTGAATATATATAATCAATGCATATGTATGGCAATATCTATTATTTAATTGAATTAATATTCTAATAAATTAAATAATAGAATCCGTAGATTCAAGTCTTGGTGATTTGTTAATCACAAGGAGTTGTGATTGTGAGATACAAATTACATATGACTGAATCTTAAAATCGTCCGTGATCGAGGTAATAACGAGATACGGATATCGTTATTACGGATAGACTATCGCGTGTGGCATTCTTACTTGTGAAGTAAGGAGCTGATCTCACAAGCTAAAGTGTGGTGACACTTGAATGAGCACGTGGATGTTTTGTTATAGAACAAAACATTGGAGACCCACTGAGAGATTCCATGTGAATAACTAGCTGAGTGATAATGGTTAATCTCTAATGTTCGATAGTGGAATTGGTCATTTGACTTGAGGTCATCATAGTACCTTATACGAGGACAGTCATACTTGGTGGTGTTGGATGTTGCTCTATCAGGGTCGCTAATATAGCATCGTCCGGGTATGTCAAGAATTATATGAAGGTTGTGAATGATTGATAGAGAATTCGTCACTCTTAGATAGTAAGAGATTATGATCTACATTTTATCCAATTAAATTGATACTGAAATTCTTGGCCAATGTGAACTCATAAGTCGAAATAAAGTTTTCAACTTACATTAACTAAATAGTGGGATAAAAGATATGATCAATAATTGAGATTGACACATATCTATATCTTATCATTGATCGGATCATATTGATGAAAGGATTATAATTTCACATTAAACGAACACGTTTGGTTTGTCACGTCACGTGGCATTACTACAAGAAAAATGGGTTTTTGCAACATTTAAAAGGCAACATTCATTCATTAAATGTTGTTAAAGGGGGTCTATTGCAACGTTTGGGTGAGTGAATGTTGCTAAAGGGCTCTATGGCAACATTTTTAAATAAACGTTGCAAAAAGTGACTTTTCACAACGTTTATTGAATGTTGCGAAAAGTCCCGTATTTCACAACGTTTTTTAAGCGTTGCGAAAAGTCTCATTTTTTGCACTTTTCACAACGTTTAAAAAAGTTGTAAAAAGGCACTTTTCGCAACGTTTTTTAAACGTTACAAAAAGAGAAATCCATTATTTAGCCCAATCAACCAAAAGAGAAGTCCATTTAGCCCAAAACTAAATCCTTCACAATAGAAATCCCTAATTCTGATGGGTAGAATTTCCTCCGCAGTAGAAATCCTCGAAGATTGTCGCCGCCATAGCCTCTGAGAAAATGGCCGCTACTCTACTGAACCCCATAATTTCCACCGTCTAGCCCTAGCCGAGGCCGCAGCATAAGTCAGAGCCAGAGTCCAAGCTACAGTCGAAGCCATAATCATTCTATTTCTGGGTGTGGAAGCTTTTATTGTTTTCTTAAGAGACGTGAATGTCCTTGCATTTTTTCTTTTGAAAGAATTGCTTTTTCTTACTTTTTGTTGGGCTCTTTGGAAAGAGAGACTGAGAGTTGGAAGGAAGAAAGAAAGCAAGAAATTAAAAAGATGAAAATAAGTAGAAATGATGCTGGCGTTCGGAAGTCCGTGTAACAGTATTCATACAAGCAGTACTTAAAATGCTTTACTCAAGGAACTTCAGGTCTCTTTCTCCCTTCGTGTGTATACCTCATTTGATAATTATTTTTGTCAAATTACTTTTTACTGTATTCTGTATCTTTTATAAAAATGCAGTCTTCTCTAATTTTCACAAGTTAACTAGATTTTTTATGTTTTGCTTCCTTGAGGTTTTTTNTTTTATTTCCGCTGTGCATGATTAAGTAAATTCCCAACAAGAGGTTCCAAAGTTGACTTCAGCTACTCTTCGTGAATCTGAGAAATTGTTTGCGGCAGAAATGAACTCTTCATAAGTTATTACTCTTGGGAGTTTCAACCATAGGGAAGGTATTTTGTTGATGACACTTGTCTCGTATCGGATTCAGCAGTTACATAAATGGTTGTCCCATTGGCTGTCACAAAATTTGATGAGTAGAAAGTTTGTTTTGTGCTTGTGGTGCTAGAAGACTTTGTGGTTGTCGGGATTTTTAACCCAAAACATATGAATAACGAAGAATGATAAATCACCCAGATCAGCAAACGCCTAATCTGGGGGCTCAACGATTAACCCAACCACTATGCACAACCTAAACCTTCCTAAGAGAGTATATATCATGAGAGACTCAATCAGACCCAGATTTAATCATTGATTTTCTACCAAATCTCTTAAATCTTGAACCCTAACAAAAAATAACAAAGAACTTATCGAACTTCTATAGACTAAAAAAATCAGCAACTATTACAAGCTCGATACACTGTAGTAACATGAGTCACATAGGATTCCTCAACAATTTTTGGCAAGAACCTCATAAGACATCACAGATCAAAACCAAGAAGAAGATTGAATAACTAGAGAGAGAAAGAGCAACTCAAACAAAGAGCCAGGAATGAATTGAAAATCATTCAAAACCATTCCAAACCCCAAGAGTCACAGTGGAAAGAATTATCCTCAGCCGTATATTATATCCAACGATCCATCATCCACATAAAGAAGCACAATCCAAGTTAAAGATTGAGAGCCAATAAGGTGTTGCCATGTGGCTGTCCATCCAAGTTGGCAATTTAAAAGAGTTGTTAGTTTTTGAGAAACACGTTTTCTCTACATTCTTCACCTTGGTTCTCACAAAGTCAAAGTCTCCCTAGGTGCTTAAGTGTGCTTAGATGACTAATTCTACATCATTGCCCATGTACTTGCAAAAGAATTAACCTTTATCAATATTCAGTAAAAATAAATAGGTTTTAAACTTACCTACAAGTACAACTTTAATCCCCATATCTGAGAAATTTTTGTGTGTGAATTTTAATCAAATTTACTTCAGCAGCAACAATTTGTTCTCTAATAAAGTGATACTTTACCTCAATGTGATTGGACATAGATATGATTTTTACTAAGTAAAAGAGCACTATGACTATCCGTAAAAATGGCAGGAGTATCATGCAGAACTTCAATTCTCTTAAAATTCCCTTTAACCAGATGCATTCTTTTACAACCTCAATTATAACAACATACTTAATTTCAGTGCTAGACAAAGTTACTATAGATTGTAATTCTGATTTCCAAGTTATGCAATTATTATCAATTGTAAAAAAAAAAAAAAGTATGTACTAGATTTTCTAGGGTCCTTATCACTAGCAAAATCTGCATCTACATATCCTTTCAAGGTCAAATTATTGGATCCCTTTTTATACACCAAACCAAGATTTAATGTCCCATTAATATATCTCAACAACCACTTTAAGCCTGCCTAATGTGGTTTATCAGGATTAAATATAAATCTAGTTAGAAAGCTAATTGCATAAGCTAGGTTTGGTTGGGTGGTAATCATGGAAAACATAATAGACCCTATGCCATTAGCATATGGGATGTTTTCCATCCTTTTCATTTCCTCTTCAGTTTTTGGTGAGTATTCAGTTGACAGATTCATATGAGCAGAAAGAGAAACATTAACAAGTTTTGAATCTTTCATGCCAAATTTAGTGACTACTTTGTTCAAATAGGATTGTTGAGTGA